GCCTTGATATGTGTGGTGTGTGTTGCTCCTGCATGCGAAATTGGATGCTAGAATCGCCGACAGACAAATGCTATATGTGTTTATGAAAAGCGTGAAGCCTTTCCTAATGCATTTGAAGACTGATTTTATTTTTCGTTTGGATATTGCATATTAGTCAGTCTGTCTACTCCAGGGGGTATATCCTTCATCCTTCATTCATCGTATTGTTACTTTTGTCGTTGTTTTACTATACAAAGAGCAAACAAAATCATCGTTTTCAATCTTAATGAATTGACTACGTTCATTTTACATTACCAATCTTGTACACTTGACATTTATGTCAAGGTACCTATTCCACTATATACATTGCAGATAAATTTAACTATATATATATATATATATATATATATATATATATATATATATATATATATATATATATATATACATATATATACATGTATATATGTCAAGGTACCTATTCCACTATATACATTGCAGATAAATTTAACTATATATATATATATATATATATATATATATATATATATATATATATATATATACATATATATACATATATATATATATATATATATATATATATATATATATATATATATATATATATATACATATACATATATATTCATATATATATATATATATATATATATATATATATATATATACATATTTATATATATATATATATATATGTATATATATGTGAGTGTGTATGTGTGTGTTTGTGTGTGTGTGTGTGCGTGTGTGTGCCCCCCCCCCAAAAAAAAAAAAAAAAAAAAAAAAAAAAGTTATCAAGAACGAAAGGTTATGTGATTGAATTATATAAATATTGGCATGTTCATTTATGTCAAGGTCATATTTCACTATATGCGCTGCAGGTAAATTCAACTAACTGCACATATCGTGTTGAGCATAAACTAGACCTTACCTTGCTCTTACGTAATAGAGAAATAAATATTTTCCTCGTAACTCGCCAACGCCAGGCTTACCTGTACTGTAAAATAATGTATATGATTTCCAGTTGATTTTGTCACACACAAAATAAATAAATAAATAAAAATAATTGAAAAAAGTAAAAATAAAAAGACGCGTCAAGCTTTGTTGCTGGCACTTTTAAAAGCCCCCCAGAGTGATCTGCTTAACAAAAACTGACGCGAGCCTTTGTTTGGTATTCAGGACTGATCAGAATTCCAAGGGGGATTTAGCCCGGGTTTTGTTTGCACCATTTCTGTAAAAGTCAAAACGTCAGCGCCTAATCAAGAATTCATTTGTTATTTCTATTTTTCAGCGCGGTGTACGTGCTCTCGACAACAGCACCAGTACATCCAGTTCCTCGGGTAAACTACTTAATTCCTTCATCTCCATTTGAAGTTCGATAGCATTGCTTTATAAAGCATCTATTCAAAACTGCGGTTCTTTACAGACCTGGCAGTTTTGATGATTGGATACAAAGATAAAGTGCATTTTAAATTAGTGCATTTAAATTTGTAATATGCTACCTATATTTATTATGTCACTCTGCGCATATAAAATTATATGTTAAGCAATCTACAACAAATTATATACATTATATAATACTTACTAAACTTACACTTACATTATATATTACTTAATAAAACGTTGACTCCCGTGATACCTATGAGTTACAACTATGCTTGGGTACTGCCATCACTGAGATATATGTAAATACGACTCCCTCATATTCGCCACTCCTTAAAACTACTTATAAAGCTTGGGCACTTATTTTCATTGAGAGTGATTTATCTATATGAATAATCAAGGCATCAGGCGACTCGCGATGTAAGACGGCAGTTCAGTGCTCTTTGATATTATCACTTGGCAAGTGTTTTGAGAACAATATATTGAGTCATATGACCAATTCCCATCCCGATTGTTACCATAGAATATATATATATATATATATATATATATATATATATATATATATATGTGTGTGTGTGTGTGTGTGTGTGTGTGTGTGTGTATATATATAATATATATACTATATACACACACACACACACACACATACACACACACACACACACACACGCACACACACACACACACACATATATATATATATGTATATGTGTGTGTGTGTGTGTGTGTGTATATATATATATATGTGTGTGTGTGTGTGTGTGTGTGTGTGTGTGTATGCATTTATGCATATATATATATATATATATATACATATATATATATATATATATATATATATATATATATATATATATATATATATATATATGGAATGAATGGCTGTTAAAAAAAAAAAAAAAAAAAAAATATATATATAATATATATATATATATATATATATATATATATATATATATATATATATATATATATATATATATGTATGTATAAGTATATATATACATGTATATATATATATTTTTTTTTTTTTCATAATCTTTGTGATAATGAATACCCTTAAATTCCTGAATATCTATCTTGCTGTTAACCCAAGTATATGTTAAATGAACAACAAAAAAGTATTGTCGACAGTATGACGCCTTTATGAAGTATGCGAAATCCGAGGTGAAAACGAGGTTGCCTATGAAAGGTTTAGCCAAATTAAATTGCGAATCGTGGTCGTATCATTATGACGAGAGAAAGTGGCCTCTCTCCTAGTGAAATTTCCAGGGAGCTGAATATCTCCCACTCTGAAATTTACAGGTGGATAAAGAAGTGGGAGGAGGAGGGCACCCTGAACGATCGCCCTCGTTCCGGTGCTCCACGAAAGACAACCGAACATCAAGATGCTCAGATCAGGGAGATGGTGGAGGCAAAATTCTTCACCAATGCAGTTAAAGTGCAAGAAATGTAGTTCCAAGTCGAACGGTGAGAAAAAGATTGCATGCAGATGGTATTAATCGCCGAACACCGGCCATCAAAGGGTGGTCGCCTCCAATTCGCCCAGCAGTATATAGACAATGATTTTTTACTGGGGATTGGTAATCGCATCGCGCACGGAAAGCTCCAGTGCTGGAGTAGAGATAACACGAGGTGTGCAAATTACTTTTTTACTTCTTTAACTTCTTTATTGTATTATGATATATGGAAAAGATCACTCTATACGCCTTGCCTTCCTCAGAAACGATCGTACCATGGCCAAGCAAGGAATACGACTTAACCCAATCGAAAAAGACAAATGAAAGAACCTCGCAAACGTTGATAGAACATGCAAAGAGGGAATGGGAAGTACTACGTAGGGAACCGGAACTTGTATATAAGCAGGTCGCCTCCGTTATTTGTAGAAAATAACGGTGGTTGGACAAGGTTTTAATAAAAATGAATTGTTCCAGTCAGTATGATTTTCCCAAATATTTGCCTTCTCTTCTACATACTATTGTTCTTCTTTAAAAGTGTAAAATGTGTAAAGAATGTACAGCTATAATCATTTGTGGAGCTAAAACGCCGGCCCACTTCCATTGGTGTTTCCGTTTTAGTAATCAAATAATTCCAAGAAATCGTATATGAAAAATTACTCTTTAAAGCCAACGATATCTGATACATTATATATATAAAAAGAATATGTTTTCGTAAACATAACAGAATATATAAACTTCGCCTTTGTAATGAAGGTAAATATGCAAATTTACTTACACCTACACATATACAGTGGATAGGCATGGATTGACAAATGAGAATAGAATTATTTCCTTTCCTTCAAACCACCTAACTTGTAGTTGTTTGAGTTGAAACAAGCTAACGTAAATTTACGTTCGAATGTGGATGCGTCTTCATACAAACGCCATGCCTTATGGAATACTGAGAGCGAAAACCATTATCAGAATTTAGCACAAGATAAGGTGCATCCGTGATGAACAAAACGAATCACATATATTTTTGTAACTCATCAGATATATATTTGTGCATACACGCATACGCACACACGCGCGTGCGCATATGCACACACAATGACAAAGCGTCTTTTTACTCTTTATACTAATACTGCGGTTTTGCGTTTATGTGATGCTCTATAATGGAGAATATAACGTAGTGCTTCCTGTTTATTGAAAGTGTTTTGTTTCGGTGAAAAGAAAATCACACTTCATTAATTCGACCAGCTGCTACTAGGTGTTGCTTCGAGCATTTGCTAACTTCTCAGCGAATTTACAGATTTCTATTTGATTTAGCTGCCATACATGGAGTATGAGGCATTTTCTATATTCAATATGCAAATATCATTGTTCTCTTCAAATAAAGGCGACATGACGCCTTACCTCCATAGGTGTTGCTATTTCAATAAACAATTCAAAGAACTCACATTTGAAATAATTAATACTACACATTTTGCAATCAGTTATTTAAAAAAAAAAAAAAAAAAAAAAACGAAATATCAAATAGCTTATTTCGTTTCTAAAAATAGATATTAATACACTTACTGGCTATTTATGTTCTACCAATCACACTCTTTGTTACAAACCTAAGGTTTTCGCCTCATTCATAAAAATAATATTTGCGCTATGTTTACATCGAGGTGATTGTCAAATGTAGAAAAGCGGGACCCAGGATTTGTACTGAAATATAATTCCGCAACGGTACATAGATATACATATATTCATATATATACTTTGTGTGTATGCACATATATGTATAGATAAACATAAATATATATACTTTTATATACATATGTTCATAGTTATATATATATATATATATATATATATATATATATATATATATATATATATATATACACATATATATATACTTATATATAGACATATAGCGATATATTTGAACATACATGTAGTGTGTATATATACATATATATACAGCATATGTATATATACATGTATTTAACATATATGTATTATATATATATATATATATATATATATATATATATATATATATATATATATATATATGTATTTATGTATATACAATACATATAGAATATATATATATATACATAGTGATGATGTTCCTCCCTCGGTTTCGAGGATGAACTTGACTCCATTTCAGATCGATGATCAGTTGCTGTGGGTCCGGAGATGACTGATGAGGCCGATCCGGGCCCGTAGGGTTCGCCCGCACACGGGACAGGTGTGCGTGGGTACTGTGTTGGAAGTGTGGCCAGCTCGAGCTTTGCGCGCAGCACGTTTCAGTTGCGCTTCCGTCGTACGTCGCTTCTCTGCTGCACAGGCGCCTGTGGAGACTTTGCTTCGCCAAGTTGAGCGGTTGATAGCAAGCTGCTCCCAAGTGCTGACATTGATGTTCTTGTCCTTGAGAGACGCTTCGTGACTGTCCTTGAAACGTTTCTTCTGTCCCCCAACTGAGCGCTTGCCTTCGTAGAGTTCTCCGTAAAGTAGCTGTTTTGGCAGTCGACTGTCCGCCATTCTGACAACATTACCTGCCCATCTGACCTGCGCTTTCTGTATGAGGGTGTGGATGCTGGAGATGCCGGCCAGTTCCAGGACTTCCGTGTCAGGGATTTTATCCTGCCACTTGATGAACAGGAGTCTGCAGAGGCAGCTCAAGTGAAAGCGGTTGAGCAGGCATAAAGCTCAACCGCAGGCATATCTGAGGGTGGTGAGCACCACTGCATGGTAGACCTTCAGCTTTGGGAGCGGAGAGGACTCAGCCTTTCCCCCAATATTCTCAGTCTTCCAAAGGCAGAGCTTGCCTTGGCAATCCTGTTGATGACTTCTGCATCAATGTTCACCACTCTTGAAAGTGTGCTGCCTAGATAGGTGAAGCTGTCGACAGTCTGGAGTTCTTGTCCCTTCACCGTGATGTGTGGTTCCTGGTAGGGCTGTCCAGGCGCGGGCTGGTACATAACTTCAGTCTTTTTGGTGCTTATAATGAGACCGAAGTTGTCACCGGCTCTTGTGAAGCAATTCATTTCGTGCTGCATCTTCTGCTCTGTGCCGGCATTGAGGGCGCAGTCATCAGCGAACAGGAAGTCTCTGATGATAGTCTCCTTCACTTTGGTAACAGCCTGCAGGCGCCTGAGGTTGAACAGTCCACCGTCAGTCCTGTACCTGACGTGCATCCCATCCTGGCAGTCATGGAAGGCGTCTGTCAGCATGGCTGAAAAGACCATGCTGAAGAGCGTCGGGGCAAGAACACAGCCTTGTTTCACGCCGTTTGTCACCGGAAAAGCCTCTGACTTGTCTCCATCATCCAGTACCTTCACCAAAATGCCATCATGGAACTGCCAGACAATCGTGATGAACTTGCTTGGGCAGCCAAACTTCTCCATTATCTTCCATAAGCCATCCTTGCTGACTGTATCGAAGGCCTTCGTCAGGTCGACAAAGGTCACAAAGAGGTCGCTGTACTGCTCTTGGCATTTTTCCTGGAGTTGGTGTGCAGCAAATATCATGTAGACTGTTCCACGTTCGACCCAAAGCCACACTGACTTTCTGGAAGGTGACCCTGCTCAAGATGCTGAAGGAGACGGTTGAGGAGGATGCGAGCCAGGATCTTCCCAGCTATGGACAGAAGAGAGATGCCTCAGTGGTTGTCGCAGGACTGGTGATTGCCTTTCCTCTTGTAAATGTGGACCATGGTGGCGTCTTTCAGCTGTTGTGGGATCTTTCCTTCACTCCACATGGATTGGAAGAGTTCTATCAGTTTCTACATCAGGGTTGGTCCTCCTGCTTTGTATACCTCCGCAGGAATTGCGTCTGATCCTTGTGCTTTGCCACAGGAGAGTTGCTTGACTGCCTTTCTGACTTCTTCTGTGGAGGGATTGTCAAGATCCCTCTTGATCTCCACTTGAGGTAGGCGGGCGATGGCTTCGATGTTGATTGTAGGAGGGCGGTTCAGGACCTAGTTGAAGTGTTCAGCCCACCTGTCCAGGATCTGCTTCTTCTCTGTCAGCAGCTGTGTCCCATCTGCAGTGAGGAGGGGGGAGGAGTCGGTGGACTGAGGTCCGTACACAGTCTTTAAGGCATCATAGAAATGCTTGGTGTCGTGACTGTCCGCATAGCCCTGTATTTCTTCAGCCTTCTTGCAACACCATGTGTCCTGCATATCACGGAGTTTCTTCTGTACCTTTTTTTTTGCGCAGGCAAAGGCGTCTTTCTTCGCTCGTGATGGGGGGTTGTTTTGATGTGCTCAGAACAGCTGGTGTGTCTCTGACAGGAGTGCCTGTATCTCCACATCATTCTCATCGAACCAGTCCTGGTGTTTGTGGGTCACTGGTCCAAGGTGTTCAAGGGCTGTGGAGTACACCACTTCTCTGAGTGCTGTCCACTGTTCCTCGGTGCTGTCCTGTTCACCGTGGGGTGTGTCTGGCAGCCTGTCATCAAGGTCCCTGGCAAATTCCTGTGCAATATTGCTGTTTTTCAGCTTAGAGATGTTGAGTCTCTTTGCACTCTTCTGGCCTTGAGGTTTTCTCTTTGGCAGGATGCAAAGTTTGCACTTGGACACTACGAGTCGGTGATCAGTCCAGCAGTCAGCACCACACATGGCCCTTGTCACTCTCACGTCCTGTACGTCCCTTTTCCTGGTGATGACATAGTCAATTAGATGCCAATGCCTGGAGCGTGGGTGCATCCAAGTTGTCTTGTTTCGGGTGGGGAGCCAGAACAGTGTGTCATGGGTGGCGCACAACTTGAGAAGCAGAAGGCCGTTGCTGTTGCACTTGCCAGTGCCGTGTCTTCCAATGATCCCCTCCCAGGATTGGTGATCTGTTCCTACTCTGGCATTGAAGTCCCCGAGGATGGTGAGCTTCTCTGGCTGTGGGACTGCTGCAATGAGGGCGTCTAGTTCTTCATAGAACTTGTCTTTGGTGTCCTCTGGGTTGGTCATTGTTGGAGCGTAGGCACTGATCAGCGTCACACTTTTCTTGTTTACAAGTGGCAGCTGAAGTGACATCAGGCGATCGTTGATACCCTGTGGGAGTTTTGCAAGGTTCCGGGCGAGATGGGATCTGATGGCGAATCCAACACCTGCCTCTCGCCGTTCGGCGGTGCTGTGTCCGCTCCAAAAGAAGGTATACCCGCCTCCAAGCTCTGTGAGTTGACCTTTGTCTGCAAAGCGTGTTTCGCTGAGGGCTGCTATGTCGATGTTGTAGCGAGCTAGTTCTTTGGCGACTAGTGCTGTTCTCCTCTCAGGTCTGTCTACCTTGGTGTTGTCCAGCAGAGTTCGCACGTTCTACATGCCAAGGTTGAGTACCTTCACTTGTTTCTGCTCTCTTGTTCGACCGCTGTGTGGGATCCCCACCAACCGCGTTTTGCTGGCCAGGGTGATGGTGAAGCAGGCTATTTTCAGGACACCTTTTCTAACCCCTTCCTCCTTGGAGGTGAGCAGAGTGAATCCTAAAGAGGGCTGCTCAGTCACCCAGGGGGCTGCTGAACTGCACTGCTGCTTCTTTCCAGTACAGAGCGACCCTATGGCCTGGGCCGCCTGTGTGTAGGTCTGTGACTACAGCTTCCAGTGAATCCACACCTGCTGCTTCGCCGCTCGCCCATCGCCACAGGACTTTTTGGTTGCGCTGAATAGATGAAGTCATGACTTGCGCTTGACTTTGATTTAAGTGAGGGAGAGTTGCGCAGATCGTCAGCCTCACTCTCTCGTCCCTTCCTATCTAGGTCCAGGGGCAGGACAAAGTCGAGACGGCTGGAGATAGGTCAGGATGCAGTGGATGGCCAGCAGTGTGCTACGTGTTTCACTGTGCCCTGGTTGCGCTCCACAGCGCTTTGCTGGGTCTGCCGTCTTGTCCGTTGAACCAGTTGGTTTCTTCCGCACAGTCAGCCGGGTCCAGTCTTTGCATGGGTAGGTAGACAAGCCCTACAGTTACCTCCTGTCTTGTGGCACGCACACACGACAGTGGAGACTCGTGGTGGCTAGGATGTCTAACCCCATCACAGGTTTAGAGACCTGCCCACTGCCCAATATACATATACATAGTACACATACATATATATATATATAGAAGTGTATATATATACATTGAAAAGGAAAGCAGCCACAGTAAGAAAAGAATATGAACCGTAACGTTTAGATCTCACGAGTTCCTTCTCAGACGAATAATAAACCGATTTATTACTCGTCTGAAGTGGATCTCGTGAAGGGTTCGAAACGTTACGATTCATATTCATTTCTTACTGTGGTTGTTTTCTTTTCATTTTGGTGTACACGTTACTGTGTTTGTGATACACACACACACATATATATAGACAGGTAGATATAGATATGTATAGTGTGTATGTATATGCATTTATACATATATCATAATATACATACATATGTATATATACATATACATATATATGTATGTGAATAGTATACTGCACACATATGTATGTACATGCCTTATATATACATATACATATATGTATTTATATATGTATATATTGAACATGCATTGCATAGACATGCTTATCTTATGCATATAAATTTAAATATGATTATATATACAGTATATATATGTATATATATAATTATATATATAATTATAAATTTAAATATGATTATATATACAGTATATATATATACATATGTATATATATATAATTATATATATATACATATGTATATATATATAATTATATATATATACACGTGTGTGTATATAAATATATATATATATATATATATATATATATATATATATATATATAAAGTATATATGTATGTGTATATAGATATATGCATACATTTATAAGTCTAGATATAAATATATATATATAACATATCTACATATGTATGTGTACATACAAACGGACCGTGCGTTTAACCAATACAGCCCTGACAAAATGGTGGACAGCAGTGGTAACAAGTACCTCAGACCTTGTGAAACAGTAAGAGTGAGATACAGAGACAAAGAGTGAGAAAGAGGGAGAGAACGAGAGACAGAATGCAGAGAAAGAAAATGAGAAGAAAAAGAGAGGAGAGATCGATCCACAAGAACTGAGGACGAGATAAACGCGACACATTTGATGTATATATAGAGGTACATACATATACATATGTATATATTTCATATATATATTTCTGTACTGTATATATGTATTGATGAATATATATATATATATATATATATATATATATATATATATATATATATATAAATGTATGTGTAAATATGTACATGTTTTTTATATATTAGTGCGTAAATGCATTTATCTGGATATATGGATATATGGATATATGTATACATATGTATGCGTATGTTTACATATGTTATATATGTATAATACTAATTTATATATGTATATTCTTATATATATACATTTATATTTACATATATGTGTATATATATAAACACATGTATATTTTCATATATGTGTATATATATAAACAAATGTATATATTTATACATATATATCTATCATATATATGTATACTGTTTTCCTTTTCATCTTTGCGTACACATTGTCACACAATTAAATATACACATTTATCTATACTGTATGTATATATATATATATATATATATATATATATATATATATATATATGAATATTCATTTACATATTTTTGTATACATATATGTTGAACCATTCATTACTCTGTTGGATCTAGAAATATCCAAATTTACTGTCGAGACGTAATTTGGCAGTACAACCCCTCCCTGATTGGATGCTCTTCCTAATCAATCATGCTACCACTTATGCCACGGCGGCGAATTCATATATATTTATATAGAGATATAAAGAGATGTGTATATATGTATATGTATAGATGTGTATATTTAAATAAACAGATACACATATTTATACGTATAGTA